TCGGAGGATCGCGCCGCATCGCCGATACATCCGCGATGCGGCTCGATGTGGAGCCCGATTTGCTTCACGTCGACGTTTCCGATGCGTCACCGACGTCGACGATGCATCGCCGGTGCATCGCCGATGCATCGCCGATGCATCGCCATCGGCGATGCGGCGCGATCCTTCGACCCCATCCACTCGGACCCCATCTGGGAGGCCTCTAGCTAAGGACGTGTGCGTTCTTTCCCGGCAGGGGCCATCGGAGCACCGCTGGGCGCCTGCCATCGGGGGCGGAAAAGAGGGGGGTGATGACTACGCAGGGGGGATTGGATATCATGGCGTGGGCTATGATATTTCCCCAGATTTCATGGCGCCTCGTCTTATTTCATTACGTCCCTGGCCCCCCCGCCGGGCCGCGCACATGCCGCCGGTCATGATTTGCACCCCCCCCTCTTGGACACCCCCCTCTTGGCCGCTCCCGATTCCAAGAAGCAGCCTCCCTCTAACAAGCCTTCGCCCCTCCCCCTTGCCCCCTGTGCGCGCGCCGCCGAGCGGGGCTCCCGGCGAGGACTACCTCTACTGGGCGAAGAGCCTGGACTTTACCCACCCGGACCTGCGGGAGACTGCCGGCTGGGACGGCCGGTATTGCCGCGTCAGCGGCTTCCTCGAGCCCGACGTCGTGGCGCTGCAGCACAACTTCTCGGGCCTGCAGGCGATCACCACCAGCCTCGAACGCGTCCCTATCCTTAAGTCGGGCCTGTCCCCCTACAGGGGGATGTTCGACGAAAAATAAGAATAAAAAAACCCAAAATAGGCAAAACATAATCCAAAAATAAGCTGGGGACTATTTTTTGATTATGGTTTCACCTCTTGGGGGTATTTTGGGGGCATTTTTTTGTCGAAAATTCCCCTGTAGGGGGACACGCCCGACATAAGCCTATCCCTACGGTTGGCATCACCTTCAGTCGGTGCCGATCCTAAGGATCTCCTCGGTTCCTGAGGGCGCGTGCTCAAGATTGTCATCGTCGCTGGGCTGGTCCATCTCAGGGATCGGGGTAAACGTCAGAGGAGGAGAGACGTGCCGGTGCCGACGGCATTCCCCTCGCTGGTGCTTGGCTAGGGCCCCCATAGGGGGGGCGGGCTTCCGTCGCCTCCTCCGCCTCTTCCGTCGCCTCCTCCGCCTCCTCCTCCTCCTCCTCCCCCTCCTGCTGCTGCTGCTCCTCCTCCTTCTCCTCCTCCTCCCTCCTCCTCCGACTCCGACTCCGGCCTCAAAGAAAAGGCCGTGGGAGACAGCGGGAGCCCGTGCGATTGGGAGGACATCCATCCTCCTGATCCCCGCCCTCGGCAGCAAGTCGTGGGAGCCTCGTGTGTCCTCGAGGGTACTCCAGATTTCGTAATAAAGGGCGGGGGGTCTCATTTCGGGGGGGGTCTCTTCCAGGCTATCTTGGAGGGCCTGGGGGTCTGGGGACGATGTTTTGGAGGGTTCTCCCACGAGGGAGGTCTGAAATGGCTTGTCTTGGAGGGTCCAGACCCCCTTCCTTTTATTACGAAATCTGGGGTACAGCTTCAGAGTGCAGTCGCGCGGGCTGGCGTTTGGTGGTCGACGAGAAAACGCCGACCTGGCGTCGATCTGCGTCGACCTGGCGTCGACCAGCGGCGACTCGCAAGAGCCATCAAGATGACACGGGCGGTCGCCATGGGTTAGTTGCCGCAGAGTTAGTCCCAGCAGAAGGTGCCGAGGCCGTACAAACCTAGAGTATCAAATTGCGCTTCTCCGAGAGGGTCAGAGCGGGCCTTCTGGGAGCATCGGTGCCAGTGCCAGTCTGTTAGCATTTGTGTTTCCCTCTCCAATGACTCCGTTTTCTGGATGGGTTGGAGGATCAGCATCGTTCAACCTATTCCCATCCTTTCGGGTCATGGCATCTCGGCCCCACCATCCCACCCCACCCCACCCCAGTTGGGGATATGCCCCTCGAGACACAAAGGGAAAAGCCTATAACACCACCGCACTACGGGGGCAAATCGCCCAGTTGGACCCGAGGAGGAGGAGGAGGAGGAGGAGGAGGAGGAGGAGGCAGGGGGATGATGAGGAGGAGGAGGATGAGAGGATTGAGGGGGAGAGGAGGAGGCGGAGGCGGGCGGCTGGCGGGAGGAGGAGGATGATTAGGAGGAGGAGGCGGTCCTCGCCATGGGGATATAGGAGAGGCCAAGAGCTGCTCTCCGCTCCGCGTGGTGCCCCCATAGTGCCCGAGGCAGGAGCCTAGTGCAGGGCGCCGGGTCGATCCTGACGCCTCCGGCCGCTGGCGCTGGTCCCCCGAGCCTCTCCTCCTCCTCCTCCTCCTCCTCCTCCTGCCTCCTCCTCCTCCACCTCCTCCTCCTCTCCTCCTCCTCCTCCTCCTCCTCCTTCCCTCCCTCTCCTCCTCCTCCTCCTCCTCCTCCTCCCCCCTGCCGCCCTCCTCCTCCTCCTCCTCCTCCTCCTCCGCCTCCTCCTCCTCCTCTCCTCCTCCCCTCCACCTCCTCCTCCTCACTGCCTGTTCCTCCTCCCTTCACTTCCTCCTCCTCCTCCACCACCACCTCCTCCTCCTCCTCCTCCCGCCTCCTCCTCCTCCTCTCCTCCTCCTCCCCCTGCCTCCTTCTCCTCCTCCTCCTCCTCCCCTCCGCCTCCTCCTCCCTCCTCCCCTCCTCAACTCCTCTCCTCCTCCTCCTCCTCCTCCTCCTCTCTCCTCTCCTCCTCCTCCTCCTCCTCCGTCCTCCTCCTCCTCCTCCTCCTCCTCCTCCTCCTCCTCCCCCTCTCAAGTCAGCTCCGCTGCTCCAGAGCACGCTACTTCCAGCGCGCATCCAGGGATGGGTACGGAGAGAATGGGTACAGTGCCCAACAGCACCTCGTGTTCGTTTTGAGGAGGACTCAGCGTCCGCGCCGCCACAGACGTGGCTCGCTGAGAACAAACAACCGCTTGCCCAACAGCGGCGGCCGATGTCGGCTTTGGACAACATTTGTGCTTGGGCATTGTACCCATTTGTTCCGTACCCGCTTCGGGTATCCAAATCTCAGGTTCGTCGGCCACGAGCAGAGGGGAATCCAGTCAACCCGCATAGTAAGGATGAGTAATTCTCCAAAGCAGCCCTTGCATCCTTGCCCCTTCGGCCCGTCCTTGGCGATGTTCGCTGGTCAACCTCGTTCGAAGAACGTTCACATGGCCCTCCCCAAGGCCTTTGCATCCTTTCCGTGCATCCTTATTCTACGGGTTGGCTGCAGGGGTAGGGGGGAAGCTTCCTGGCAGCACAAGCCTTCCCCCTAATTACCCTCTTGTGCGCGCCGCAAGTGGACCCTTCGCCGCTTCGCCGGAGCCCTGGGCCGCTCCAGCGCGTCGTCGCTTCGAGCCTCTCGGGATCGGCGCTTCTCCGCGGGTGTCCCGTGGCATGGGCACCTCGCCGCTGCAGAGCCGCTTGCGCAGAACAGCGTTCCCTTCATTGGCCGACTGTCTGCCAGGAGGGGAAAGACAGAGCGAACCCCAAACAAGCACAACAACAGCAGCAACAACAATCATTTTAACACTGATCGCTCTGACCTGCTCGAGTGTCAATCAACACGTACATCCCGAACCCTCGATACCCGCCCTCTTCGTCTTCGATCATACCAAGTTTGGGGTGTAGCATGTTTGCCTGCAACGTGTATTTCGTGCAGCCCCTAAGGCAGGGGAAGAGAGGACGCATGGAAGGAAGGGACAACGGGCAGGGAGGAGGATGGAGCACGATAAAGTAGCAGGAGAGAGCCAGGGGCAGAAATCAGGTGGCAGAACCAGACGGGCAGATTGGGCGGGTGAGCCCCGGGAACGGGTGGCAGAACCAAGCAGGCAGATCGGGCGGGTAGGCCCTATCTGGCGGGCCGGCAAGGCGGGCCCAGGCGGCCAGGTGGAGCAGGCGGGTTGTTGAAGCGTGCGCCCCGCATGAATCGCGAGGACGTCTCGAGCGAGAGCGTGATTCCTGAGTGTCGAGGACGCGGCGTTCGAATAAATTGCGAGGAAATCCCACGCGAGAGCGTGATTCTTATACCAAATGTGAGGTAGTCCCGAGCGAGAGCGCGATTGTCAAATAAATTGCGATGAACTATCAGGCGGGAGCCGTTGTTGTTGTTGTTGCTGTTGTTGCTGTTGCTGTTGCTGTTGCTGTTGTTGTTGTTGGTGTTGTTGCTGTTGTTGTTGCTGTTGTTGTTGTCGTTGTCGTTGTTGTTGTTGAATGTTCACGATTGAAGAGTACGTAATTGTTGTTGACCCCCTTCCCTTACAGTAACCATTGGTTTGTTCAATTGCTATGCTTCCCCCGGGGCGCGCACCTTGTTTTTTTTATTAGGGAACGTCACTAGACTCAAACTTCGCTGTTGGCCCCCGAACTACAACAACAACAACGCCTGACACGTCCTTACAATGTATTCCAAAATCGCGCTCTCGCGCGGAACTTCCTCACAATGTATTCAGGGATCGCGCTCTCGCGTGGGAATTCCTCGCAATATATTCAGACGCCGCGCCCTCGACATTCAGGAGTCACGCTCTCGCTGTGGATGTCCCAACGATTGATTTGGGAATCGAGCGGTCGCTCGAGACTTCTTCGCGAGTCATGCAGGACGCACGCTTGAACAATCCGCCTGCTCGACCTGGCCGCCTGGGCCCTCCTTCTCGACCCGCCTGGTAGGGTCTACCCGCACGATCTGCCCGTTTGGTTCTGCCACGTGTTTTCTGCTAACCCGTGGCCCATGCTCCTCCTTCCCCCTTGTCCTTCCTTACATCAGTTCTCTCTTCCCCTGCTTCAGGGGCTGCGCGAAATACACATTGCACATTGCAGGTAAGAAAGGTATACCCCCAAGCGGTCACGGTCGAGGACGAAGAGGGCGGGTATCGAGGGTTCGGGATATACGTGTCGAATGTCACGCGAGCAGGCAAGAGCGAACAGTCTCAAAAAGATTGTTGTCGTCGTTGTTGGTGTAAACCGGGGGCGAGGGGCCCAGTTAGGTAACAAGTCCATTGTTAAAACAGGGTGCGAGCCCCAGGAGAAGCAATTCAACTGGAACGTCCAATGGTTGCCGCGCAGGGTGGATCCACAAACCTTGTTGTTTAGAAGTGGCAGCTCAAAAACAGCAGCAGCAACAGCAACACTCATGGTTGATATCGTTCGCTGTGCTCTGTCCGCGTGCCAGTCAGCACGTGTATCTCCAACGCTTGGTACCCGCCCGCTTCGCCTCCGACCGTCGGGGTGTATATCTTTCGTACCTGCAGCGTGTAGTTCGCGCAGCCCCTAAGGCAGGGGAAGAGAGGACGCATGGAAGGAAGGGACAACGGGGGAGGGAGGACGAGAAAGTAGCAGGAGAGAGCCAGGGGCAGAAATCAGGTGGCAGAACCAGGGACGAACGAAAGGGAGGGACAAGCGGCAGGCGGGGTGCTGAAGCGTGCGCCCCGCATGAATCCGCGGGCAAGTCTCGAGCGACAGCGCGACTCCCCCAGACAAATGGTGAGGGAATCCGCAGCGAGAGCGAGATTCCTGAGTTTTGAGGGCGCGGCGTCGGAAGAGAATGCGAGGAAGTCCCACGCGAGAGCGCGATGCATGTATCAATTGCGATGGCGAAAGCGCGATGTTCTAATAAGTTGTGAGGAAGTAAGTATCAGGCGGGAGCCGTTGTTGCTGTAGTTCGGGGCCCAACAACCCAGTTTGGTGACACCC